CCTCCGCTGTCTTTGAGAGCACCGCTATTCGATGTTGTGGGAGCTGAGCAATGTCCTGTCGCAGCTGAGAAAGGATCCTTACCTCAGGATGACTTGAGAGTTTGTCCGTCGCATTCAGAGATCGAAGCTTCTGGGGTTCCGGGCATGCTCCTGACAACAGGTGGTCACGAAGACCTTTCCATTGATGAAGTTTGCGCATGCAAGCGGCGCATTGCGGCATCCCATCCACCGCGTGGAGTTGTCGATCGAAGCTTGAGGGTACAAATCGGTCAATGCTGGCTGGATGTACGCGCGACTTGTGTAAATGTAGTCCATTTGCTGTCTCGAAGGAGGCATCGCAGAGTGTGCACGCATGTAGGGCTACAGGGTTTTCAGCTGCTTCGGGGAGTTGTGATAGGAAGGACAGCTTGTCCCGGATGACTTGCAAAACCGAGTGCTCGGTTGTGATGTCTGGGCTTCTGGCTGCGCGTCGCTCAAGTTTGCGGAGTCTCTTCCTTAGCTTGATCTGCATCGCTTGAACCGGATCCTGAATACTGTAAAGCTGGAAAAGATCCTTAGTGGTGATGCGGCTGGTATGTGCTGGCAAGTTCAGCACTGATCGCACCTTGTAAGCATGCCAACTACGTAGCTGCTTTGCCGACTCCTCACTTAGTCCGACGTCTGATAGGCCTGTCGTCAGTGTGCTCAGGACTGTGCTTTGCCAAACCTTGAGTCGCGACATGGTGCTCGCATACCTACGATTGTAGACAAATTGGCGGACTTGATGCAGCTTTTGCTTTGCCTCCCCTATGCGGTAATGCAATGTCTGCAGCTCGAAGTGGTTGTAGGAGATCATTACCCCCAGGTACTTGCTACAGGAAACCCACTGGAAGGCGGGGAACGATTTATTGGGCCCGATGCGCCATCCTCGAACCTGCTCGCCCTTGGAGTTTGTGATCCAGCAGCCGTGTTTGTTCATCACGTTTTGGGATTCTCTACCCGCTAACTTCACCAAGATGACGCACTTGCTAATGTTGACTCGGAGGCGGTGTTTGCGGACCTCCTCAAGTAACGCTGCGATGATCGCATGAATGGCCTTGAGGTCCTTGTCGGAGCGGATAGTCCGATGGAGCGTGAGATCATCGGCGTATCCTGTCAGAAATTTCAAGACCTGCTCAGCACCGAATAGGTCAACCAGAGAGCGGAAAAGGTCACCTGTAAGGAACGAGAAGAGTGTGGGGGCGAGCTTACATCCTTGTTTTATGCCTGCTGTGGTTTCGACAGAGGTGGAATCTCCCTGCGCGTGAAGGACATAACGAGACCCGTCATGCAGAGCCTGAACGAGGTGGACTGTGTCCTGATCGGCCCCTTCTCTCTGAAGAAGGTCGATGATCTCTTGGCGAGAGACTGTGTCAAACGCTTGGCTCAGGTCAAGAGCGAAGGTGAGGCCGCCAACTAAGCCTGGGGCCTGTGTGCCTTGTTGCAAGGCATGTCTCGTGGGGTGGGCCTGTTCTAACAGGGATCGAGCCTCACGCAAGTGATGCACCACGCGTTCTAGCGCGTCTGACAGCCCCCGACCTGGTAGATAAGCGAACTGTGGCATGTGCTTGAGGAACGAGAGGGTCAGTGGCTGAAGCGCTTCTCTGGCCGCTCCCGCCAGTCCCTTAGCGTCAGGTCTAAGGATACCCAAGGGTCTCAAGTTCGCTGGTTTGTCAGAGGGTTTGCCCGGCTTGGGAATTAAGCAGAGATCAGCGTCTACGAGGTCGGATTCGAGGCTGTCCTCGGCCTGCTTGGATGCTACGTGTTTTGAGAGGATCGGTGCAACGATGTCGCTACACAGTCTCCACACAGCCGCGGGTGCGGCTCCGTCAGGAACAGCTTTATTAGGCTTGATAGAGTGAATGTGAGCTGCTAGTTTGGGCGGCGCCAAAACAGGGAAAGCTCCATGCAGTGTCCGTAACGGAGGGTGGGCCGCAAAGACCTGATTTGCATATTCCCTGAGGGCTGCTAGCTCCTGCGCTGGACCCAGCAAGTGTCCTGTGTTGTCCTTGAGCTGAGCTCTGCGCGCAGGCTGCCAAGGCTGCAGTTTTTTGAGGGTTTGAAAGGAGATGTGTTGGTCACCTTCAGCCAGACTCGCGTCCACCTCAGATATGAAACTCGCGATCCTATCTTTCTTTGCTTGTTTCACAGCCTGGCGATGTGCCACTTGCGCCAGTTCAGCTTCAGTGTCTGGCGGACGTGGCGTGTGCTGATTAGGAGGCTGTGCCATTACGTTAGGTGACTCGATCAGCTGTGCTGAGGGAGTTGTGTTCACAACCCTGTCATGGGTACGGGCCCGCCACATGCGTCGGGTTTCTGACTCCAACGGGATCGGTCTTCGTTTGGGAATTTTTGGAAAAAAGCGTTCTGCACCTTCCAAAAGCAACGCATTCCATGCCTTGGGGTCCTGGCAGGTGTCAATTCTGGAAGCTATCCAGCTGTGCAGTGCCTTTGCCGTCTCATCCTCCTCTCTGACCGAGGCCTGTAGAGCTAGTGAATCGTAACGGCGCGTGCTGAGCTTATGGGATGGGAGCATCCAGTGATGTTGGAGGGGTACGTCAGCTTTAAGCGGGTAGTGCCCTCCTTTCTTCCAGCTTCCCAACGGGCAGTCCACCCAGGGGGCTGACCTTTTTGCTTTGCCTCCCGCCGTAGATTCTTTGGTTAAAATGAAGTCAATTTGCGACTCCACTCCTCCTTGTGAGAAGGTGGCTATATGGTCACATTGCCAGGTGTTAAGGGCAACCAAACGCAACCTGAGCAGCAGGTTAAACAAGTTGGATTCGTCAGGGCGGTCCTCAGTGGGCGGCTTCACGTGCGTTCCCACCAATGGAGGGCTCGGACGCAGGGAAGTGTTAAAATCACCTGCTACAATAAGGGAGTCCCTCTTAGGCACCTGCTTGATCACCTTGGACATGACGGATAGTACCTTAGCACGGTCATCCTTATTGGACTGGATGGTCTTGGCAGAAGACCAAGCGTGTTGGTACACCGCGACAACAACCAGCCGAGTACCTGCAATGTCTGCACGAGCTTCTAAGACCCTACCCGGGCTCCACTCCTTCCAACGTAAGCTCTTGGGGGCGAACTTGGGCGAGAATAGGATCATGACTCCATCAGCGCGAGTCGTGGATGGAGCTCGCGGTTCTTGCCGAGTATTACGCTTCGCAGCTTGTTTAGGCCGGGTATGTGGTTTGGTAGACTCCGAGGCTGAGGAGATACAGTACCACCCAGAAACGCTGAATTCACTGGTCTCAGTCCAGTGCGTTTCCTGTAATATGAGGACGTCACAGTGATGAGAGGCTTCAGCTGCTAGCCACGTTTTGAGTTCGCCCCATTGCTGTTGACCTAGGTGTCCCGCGTTCCACGAAATAACTCGGATGGATCTTTCCAACCGGCCTGCCCTGCGGGAGGCTGTGCCATATGCAGGGGAGTCAGCAGTCTGTGACTGAAGCTCTCTTCGAGTGGGTGGGGGGCGTACCCCCAGACGATCAACCAGGGTAGGTGTCAGAACCTGCCCTCGGTATGGTACGGGCCCGTCACTACGGACTGTCCTTCTACATGCTGTCTTGAACGAATTCTTACGAAGAGATGCAAAGTTTTGTGAGTGCACTGGCAATTGCGCCATCCGCTACTTTCGTCAAGAGACCGAAGCCTAATGCCTCCCTCCACTGCGCGGAAGTGGAAACCCTACCGCCTGCCCAGTTTTGCAATGTTTTAAACAGTGTCTGGGCCCAGGAATTGGGACCTGGCGGCTCAAAGCAGCTCCTGTATGAAAAGGGAGAGGACCATGGCGTGGAAGGAGGCACAAACCTTTACTGTTCAGAAAAGGGCCCGGTAGGAACCTCTAGCACGGCAGTTGCGCCCCAAGCCTGTTCGAAACCTCTCATTCAGCGCGGCCGCTTGAGCACTTGTGGCGGCTACGACGACTACTACTACTACTACGACGACGACTACGACGACTGCGACTACTACTACTACTACTACTACTACTACTACTACTACTACGACGACTACGACTACTACTACGACTACGACGACTACTACTACTACTACTACTACTACTACTACGACTACTACGACTACCACGACTACGACTACTACGACTACTACTACGACTACGACGACGACGACGACTACTACTACTACCACCACTACCACTACGACTTCGACTACGACTACGACTACGACGACGACGACTACTACTACTACTACTGCGACGTCGTAGAAGGTCTTTGACCCCAACACTTTCATTTCTACAACCACACGTTATGATTTACAAGCTGGCACGCTGAAAACCAGGGCCATCCCCCAAGCGCTCCGGTCTGGCCTCCTCTGGCCCTTCCGGCTCGGCCAGCGCGTGTGGAGCAAGCCTTGGGTGCACGAAGGAGTTTTGGCTCATGTCCTCGGACTTCAGGTGTGTATATATATATATATAAACAAATAAATATATATATATATATATATATATATATATATATATATATAAGGGTTACGGCTTGCGATTTCAGATGCCCGGTGTCGGATTTGAGGTTGCCGGCAAGCTTGATTCATAAAGGAAAGGAACAGTTTGTTGCCAACGGAGTCATGGCAACACGCCACAGGTGACCAGTGAGATCATATGCTAGAATTTAGAATTCACATGGGGTGCTTTTTGTTGTCCTGATGTGGGGTGATAAGCAACCTCACAGTTTGAGGAAAAAATGTGGGGTACCACTGCAATAGACTACTGCAAAATGCTTTCGTTACTTGGTGGTGGCATGTGTGCGTAAGGGCATATGACTACGTAGTGGTTATACTTGTGCTTCGTGCTGTCGACGTTGGGATAATCTGTTCAAACTCAGCACCCTGCTGGTCTTCAGCTCTTTGCTCCATCGCCACTTTGCCCTGACACATGACAGCAGTACGTCTACGCACGTGAGAGGTCATCCATGCTGCTGACAAATCAGCATACCACAAACTCGCAAGGCAGAACGACATGCGAGCTAATTGTAGAGAACGACAGCGCAGTAGCGCGCCTCTGCCGCCTCTGCCGCCGCCTCCGCCTCCTGCACCTCCTCCTCCACCTCCGGCTCTCCTCCCTGCTTCTCCTTTGTAGCGTCCTCGGGCACGTCGAGCTCCTGCAAATCCTGCCCCTCTGCAGGAGGCCCTCCTAGCTCTGCATCAGGCTGTCTCTGCTCCGGCGGCTCCACCGGCTCCACGACATCTTCCGCACCCTGCTGCTCGGGTTCTGAGCATTCGGCTGGCACGGCTGTTGGCTCTTCAGTGTCCGGCTGCTCGGAAACGGGTTGTCTCTCAAGGCCTGGGGCTTCCTGAACTCTGCCGAGAGCATCCGCATCCGCATCCGCCGCGTTCGCCACGACCTGGCCCTCCTGCGCAGAGCCGAATCGGGCTGCACGTGTCCCACGCAGCCCAAAAGGCACTCGCTGTCCTCGTTTTCAGGAGGAGCTGCGTCGCTGCTTCCTTGCTCTGCCCTCCAAGCCAAGACCTGGCTGAGCTTGCTGAGCTGGCTGAGCTGGCTTGGGCCAGGCAGAGAAGGCAGAACAGAGCAGAATCTCCAGTGCCACATGCATCCCTTCCGCCGAAGAAGCACATCAAAAAACCCGCGAAGCGTGAATCCTAAAGTCAGCCTGCACGCATGCGCGTAGCCGGGAGGCTGCTGCCACCGTCGCTTCAAGGGTGCCCACCTGGCTTCGGAGGTTCCACGTGGGGTTGGGACTTCAGATGCCAGAATGTGCTAATAGCTATTGTCAATTGTGCTTCAGCATGAAAGCCAGTGATGGTGGCATACCGAGCCAGGCAAAGGGCCAACGGATCAAAATGGATCAAGAATCCCAAGCCAGGGCAACAATTCGAACTGGCCGGTCTTCGGTTCCAGCGATGGAAGCATCCTTCAAGCATGCGAACCCGTATTAAGAGCACCTCATGCACATATCATCTGGCTTGGCGCCTGGACGGAAAGCTCCGCGCCCGACAGCTTCATGACTTTGTTCAACGTGCCTGAACCGAACCGAAAGCGTCCATACCGCCGAAGGCAGGAATGAAAACATCGCAGTCTTTCTCTGCCACTCAGTCTCTGGAGGGCATCCTTGCAAGAGAAACTCTCTGCTGGAGTTTGCATGCAAGCTGCCATCCTCACTCATGGAAATGGCATGCTCCGCGGGCACCAGCAGAATGAAGACACCAAGGTCTTCGTCAGAGGTCGCCTTTTGCTCTTCGTAGAAGCGCTCTACGATCAGCCGGCAAGCCGCCTGCGCCGTGACGTCTGCCCTCTCACATGCACTATAGGGTAATACAGAGTAACAGGAGCAGCTCCTGCATGCGCCTGCTGCACCTGCTGCCCACCATGGATGGTGACAATCCGGTCCGTCAGGGATGCCGGGGTGGTGTCGTCCTGACACAAAGCACCAGTGACACCACGAATCGCGCCGGATTAATGACACCCTGCGAGGCCCTGAGCAGCTTGCATCGGACACCGAAATGTCGGCCCCAGACCTGGCAAAAGGAATCGGGTCTGGCGATGCTCGTGTGAAGATTTTTCTTGCGTGAAGCCGATCGACGGGAATCGAGGGCTTTGAACATCTATCTCTGGGTGTCCCACGCCACCGCAATGCGCCCAGCCTGTGGTGCAGTGAACGCACACCTTGTAGTTTAGAGTGGAGAGGTGGCACTTTGAGTGCTCGGCAGCGACACCATCTTCTCCCGCGAAGAGTTTGACTATTTCGGCAGGAACCTCAAGCCGCTGGTCCAAGTCTGCACGTGTCACAAATTGTTGTGGTGTGCAGTTGTCGGCACAATGTCAAGCTTCATGATCCTCAAATCGTTGACGGCACAACCGATATCTTTCTACATTGCCAGTTATGCTCCTGTAAACCAGTACCAATACCGTCAGTTGCGAATCTCCAGCATACCCCTGCGGGGCCGCGGCAAGGCACCGAAGTGGCACCGGTTCCAGCATCTTCGGTGAAGCTGCTCATCACATCGCTCGGGCTCGATTGGACTAAAGGCAGCATTCTTGCTGTAGTTATCATATAAACATGTGTTGTCAGTGTGGTAATGGCGTGAGGCGAAAGTCTGGAAGTTCAGGGTTTGAGTGGCCTTGAGCTTGATAGTAGTCAAGTAGTATTTATGCACCTGCTTGACTCGGTCAAAGCTTTCTCTGGTAGACTGGTAGCTGAGAGGCAGAGAAGCCTGGAAGTTCCAATTAAGATAGTCGCTCTGTGAGTGTGTGTGTGTGTGTCTCCGTGGACCAGGCAGCGCGTGGGCAGGCATCATGACAGGCATCGGGTGGGCGCAAACACCCCTGCTTGCCCAAACCCTCCGGTGCAGAGGCATCTTACCTGTTTGCAAGTTGCAAAGGGGGATGTTAAACCAGATGGTATGCTTGCTGAAGTGGCTTTGACCCAGGGTAAGCAGCTAAGCATTTCGGGTGGCCGCTGAAAAGCGACTCAGAACTAATGTCTCCAAAACTGGGGAAGTCGACACATGTCGACGCTAAGGAAACGCAGGGATAGAGCCCTTCCAGGACCACCTGCCAAAATTTGCGAAGCTTCTACTAAAACTCTGGCTTGGCGGGCTCACGCAGCACGCGAGGCGAGATGCCACGCCAGGGCGAGATCCAGACCAGCGCACCAGAGGGCCCTGCTTCAGGTGGCTCCGACGATCGAACTTCCACCTGAGTGCGGTGGAAACACAGGGCCGTCCCTGCGTAGCCGCTGAGCTGCCTGGCTTCGTTCTGTCGGTGGCAAGGTTAGGCATGCTGGCCATGCTGGCATACTCTGGCTTCCAAGATAGTGATGGTGCTCCGAAACATTCGTGCCGCTTTTTGTACTTGCAAGGTCGGTTCGCCTCGGTACACGCCGGTGCCGACAATTCTCGAATAATTCCAAGTCCCAAGTAGACTCGGCTCAAATGGACACATGAGATAATTACTCGCAAAACCTTCAAAGCAAACACCACAAGCCTGGAGCTGTCCACATCATCTGGTCCGTGACCTCACCGAGTCCAGGAGGTCTCGCTCTGTACCCCTTCCTCAGGCTCCCTCCCTCGCGCCCTCACACAAACATGACGGCTGCGAGACACTCTTTCAGCGAAGGTGGTCCCAGATTGGAGGCCGGCTGAAATCCGACACTCCTTCCAGCTGATCTCTTGGCTACACCGTCTCGAAAATCAGCCGTGCCACGTTGCGGCGGTTCGGTCTACTGCCGAGCAAGACTGGACACGAAAATGCCATCTGAGGCAAATCGCCTCAACAAAGCAAGTGTACCGGCTACGCTCGTCTCACCGATTCATGCTCGACGCATCACTGCAGCTACGGCAGTTGTAGTCGAACGCTTTACCTTTATTCTAGCACATGCGTCGACTATGGCGTCATGCGAGGGACAAGTTGAGTTGCAAGAACCATGTAAAAGCATGATGTATCATGGTGTAGACAACTGCGGACGACAGTGATGGTCAAGTGAGGCATCACACGCTGGATGCCCAAACAAGTGATTTCAAGCGACGATAGCTTGGAAATCGCTCCAGCGGAGCATCATCTTCCGCCTCGGCCTAGGACACATCACTACGGATTATGAGTAGCGCACCGCAGAGGGCGCTTAATGCATGTGGGCAATCTTGTGCAGAAGCTGGCTTCTCTCAAAAGGAGGTCCAGCACACCCGCTGTTTGCAGCAAAGCTTTGGAATCCTAGAGACTGAAGCTGCCACTCGCGGTAAAACACCTCAGGCAGCGATTCTTTGATCTCTTGCCTTGCCTACCTTCCATCATGCCTCAAGACAATGAAGTCCGCTTCCGACGGAGCAGCCCCTGGCACAAGCTTGCTTTTGCTATCCACTCCATTGTGTCGTCATTTGCAGCATTCAGGGCTCTTGAGTCTGCAGGTTAGAGTAGCAGTGTTCTAAATTTTACTAAAGGTTGTTTGGTAAAACATTCTGGTTGCTAATACCCTCCAGCTGCTCATAAAGCGAGGACGGAATGAATGTGTCCCTTTGCTGCTGCGATATGTATTCGCTCTAGACCCCCTGGGTGTGCGTCTTCTTCCATGTTTCAACTGCACCCGCGCATGGCTCATACAGAGAAGACATGCTCAGGGCCCCTCTTCCCACCGTTCCCCACCACAGTCCCGGCTGTGACTGCCACCTTCGCCTCTGTGCATAGATTTGGGACGGCACTCGTGCTCGCCGTCGTGCGAAACTCGACTCTTGCCGGTTTGCGGGCCTCAAAGTCTCTGGCATAGATTTGATTTCATAACCCCCCCTCCTGAGGCGCTCGTAAAGCGCGAGGAGCGTTTCGCTCTGTGCAGTTCTCAAGTTACTATCGATCGAACAAGAGCGAAGACGAGGACCACGGCCCCGAAGGATCCCGAAGGACTCTGGAAGGAGCAGAGGACAAGGTTAGCCTTATCCAGGGGCGAAGGGTTCCGTCAAGGTACAAGACAAGCGCGACCAGCATCCCGTAGAGTAAGCACAACACTCTGTCAAAATGTGTCAGCTGTAGGACCGTAGGGAATCGAAGTGCATCCCCGAACACGGCTCTCCCCAGGCCTTAGGGGTTGCCGTCACCGGAGAGCAGGGTATCGATGGCCGCGTCCACGCGGCCCTCGTGCTGCGCCAAGGCTCTCAGGCAAGCAGCCTGAGCAAACATCAGCAAACTTCTTCGGCAAGCGGGTGCAGGAGTCAGCCTACCTCGTTCGTGAAGCCCATGGCAGAGAGCTGCGTCAGCTGCGACGCGAACCGCGCTCTCTGAAGCCTCGGAGCCGTGCCGGCGGACCCACAGCTGCTCAGCTTCTGGCGCAGCAGCTTCATGGATGCGATAGGCTGTCCGGATAGAAGCGAGCTATCTTCGGATGCGGAGCCCACTGCAGTAACAGACACCTTCTCGGGATCCGGCTCCGGGGGTTGTGTGGCCGCTTGCGCCAGGGGTGCTCCCGCACCGTAGCTGCCTGAACGACTCAGGGCAGTGTGGACAATGATAGACAGGGATGACATCCTTAGTTTGGAAAGGTGATGATGACTAGCAGAGGACGATAACCCGGACGACAATGACGACCAGCTCTCATGGAACACATAACTCTGGAGAAAAACAGATAGTCAAGATGTCTAAAAACCATGTAGTTCTTTTTCATTCAGGCTTCAGGAATGAATCATTTCCTCGTTCCGTGGCGTTCCGGAACCGGAAGTATCATGACGGCATGGTCGGCGTGGCTAGCCACTGCGGCTGCTACTGCTCTCAGTCTATGTGAAAGCTGTTTTGCTGCATCTTCCACGGATCATGGATCATGATCTCTGGCCAGGGCTCGGGCCTCCGGCAAACGGGTTCATGGCCGGATTCATCATCATGGACATCAGAGCAGGATTGCTCATCCTCGGTTCTTGTCTTATCTTTCAACATTGGCAATGCTGTCGCAAACGTCCGATCATGCTTCTCTTAGAACGGACTCACAGTTGCCCTGCTGCCTGTCTTTGGGAAAGCTAACAGTTGTACCTAGCCAATGCGTGCACGAGGCAGCTTGTCACCAGCTTGACAAATCTGCTCAGCTTTACTCGTACATTCGTTCCTGCCCTGATGATCCTGATGCAGTTGCTAGTTACGGACCTTGAAACCTAAACTCCAGTCTGGTTGCTTGGTGCTGAGTGTGTGAGCCGACGAGCGACTGCAATCGACTGCGAATGTTACTCAGTTGTTGCTCATGCCGATATGGCAAATCCTGAATTCCAAAATTGCTCCTACATTCAAGTCCGGAAAAGCAAGGCCAGGAAGCACCTTGGCAAAGCAAGGATTTTCTGGCTGTTCTCCAACATCTCCAACTGACTTCGCTGCAGAAGCACATGCTGCTGTTAGACTCACACTCGACATGCATGGAAGATACATCTGCTCACGGGATAAAGCAAGCCTGTTAGGGAGAAGTACACATTCAGCCGGGCATCATCTGCTGCATCATGTTCATGGGAGGTCCGGCCGTGCCCGCTCCCGGCGCCGTCGCACCGGCCGTTCCCGGCGCGGTCGTGCCAGCTGTCGGTGCTTGGGCTGGGCTGGTCATGCCACCAGGAGCCCCCGAACCGGCCATGCCACCCATGCCACCCAGGGCGCCCAAACCCCCCAAGCCACCCAAACCCCCAAAGCCGCCCATGCCACCTAGGCCACCCATGCCACCAAGACCACCGCCCAAGGCACCTGGCGCACCTAGGGCGCCTGGCGCGCCCAAGGCGCCTAACCCGGCCATGCCGCCTGCCGGGTTGGTGGCTGCAGCTGGCCTCGGAAGAAACGACAAAGAAGCTGACACCGTCACACCGTCTCTCAGTTTCGCGTGTTGTCTGGGTTTCCGGGCGCAGGGGTGGCCGCGGGGGTGTTCGCGGTCGGCGCCGGGCCCCAAGGGTTGGGCAGCGCCTCCCGGACCCGGACATCGCACAGCGCAGCCATGTCATATCATGTCATGCAACGCCGGGATCGGCCTCACTGCTAGGTCCAGAGCTAGTGTCTTGCGAGTAGTCGACCCTCGGTTGCAAACGCGAGAACCGCACCGGCGTCAACATCTCAGAGGTTGCTGGAGGTACTTTGACGTGCTCAGCTCGCCGCGCCGTCGCGTTCCCGCCGCTGGCGGTGCTGCCTCCTGGAATCAGCGTAGGGCGAGGTATACAGGTATATGATACGGTATATGGGTGTGTGACATGCGAATCGTGCAAGTGCCATTCAAAACTTCGGTGCCGGTTGCCGGCCTCCTGACATAGCCTCAAAGAGCGGGTCTGCAAACTCCTCGTGAGCTCGCACCTGTGCCCAAAAAGAACAACAACGAGAGAGAGAGAGAGAGAGAGAGAGAGCGTGTGTCAGCGGCGCAAGCCCCTGGCCAGCGCGTTGTGACCGCCCGGCATGGCGTCGAGCTGGCCCAGGGCGCGATCTGCATTCCTGGCATGGCCACGTAGGATCGTCCCTCTTCACCCACCGAGCCTCCACCCGTGCGTGGGCAGTCCTCGTCATTTCTCGCATCAGCGATGGATTGGCAACCATGCGCATGGACTGCTGGAGCAACTGCACGAAACCGGGCGTTTGAAGGTCAGAAGCTGGCGCTGGCAACGAGCGTCTGTGCCTCCGGATCTTCCAGCATTCTGGCGATCCTCGGCAATTCTCGGCATGGAGGAAGACCAGGGTCAACAGAGGACTCGATGGTTCCGCGCTCACGTCCGTTTAGCCTGGGCTCTCCGGTCGCTGCTCCATGAGCTCGTTGAGCTGCGGGTTCATGCGAACCATCGTCCTGTAGCCAGGGTCAAAATTCCGGCCAAGGGCCAGGCGGAAGACCAAAGCCGAGGCCTCAAAACCTCCGGGTTGCTCATCATCTGCTGAACCATGGGCGAGTTCATCAGCTGCTGCCTCGGACGACAGGTTTCTTGGGACCCGATTCAATGCACACAGCCCGTCATAGTCCGCAGCATCATCTCTGGATTCTGCATCATCTGCTGTTGAGTCTGCGCCTCGGCACGCACTACGCTCGAGAAAGGCGCAACCCTCCAAGCAAGTCTGCGAAGAAACCCGACCTCGCTCCACGGCACTTGAGAAGTCGCGGCCGTCTGGAGCCTGAGCTATCGGCCATCATCTGGGAGAAAGGATCACCTGCGACCAAGGCTTCAGAGCAACCCGGACTGCAACTCCGCTCTTGACGCCTGCCAGGCATCCAAAGATGTCAGTTCATGGGGACTGCGGTCCTCTGCCGAAACCCACCGTCCTTAATCTGAAGTTGGGGACCCCGAACCACGAAGCGGAGTGCAGAATAAGTAAACGGGCACTGGACCAAAGCAAACCGGCTTGTTCTGCCCCACCGAACCCTGTGACATACCCTCGTCACGTTGTGTGACAAGCCGTTGTCACGGCTGGAGTGTACGCAACGAAACGAGTACGCCTTGCTGCAAGCCCCGCTGTGCAGCGTTCCAGAAGCAAGGACTTGATACGAAGAACCCCGACCGACCGGTGAGCGCTACAAGCAAGACTCTGCGCATGCCAATATTGAATGTCAGCATACCGAGAAGTACCCGTAGTTCGGACTCACTTGTAAACGAAAGTCCTGTCTGAGTCGTAGTGGCTGATACCTGTAATCACACTTGCTATTCTTGCTTGAAACATAAAGTTACTTTTGAGCTCTGAAGGTGCGGAGCGCTGCTATTTGTCAGGGAACAGGGCCCTGCATCAAGAGGGTCAGTCACACTTTAAGTCACATTGCTAATGGCCGTTGGACTTGCGCCGTGCCGGTTCTGAATCGATGTCCTAAACCTGCATCAAAATACTAACGTGCACTGCTAATCGACGGTAAAGCGGCGGGTTGAGAACTACTCCCAGATCTTCCTTCGTCTAAGCTGCAGATTACGGCGCCCGCACCTGAGTTGGCCTGCGGCGCGGGTGCTGCGCCCATCATCTGCGCCATGGGGTTCGCCGGTGCCTGGGCCCGGAGGTGTAGTTCGGATGCGTCGGGGATTTGCAGCTGAAGCCCCCGGCTAAGGACTGGCTGGCGGCTGGAGGGGCCTCCCTCTGCCTCGGTAGCACCCGGCATTTTGCGGGTGAGGGCCGTGTAGCGAGATTTCTGAGGGGCGGGCGGATTGTTTAGACAGTGCACCACGACTCCGTCTTTCGGCTCGTAAGACCCGACGGTCTGGGTGTCCTGCAGGGTGCGCTGAGCAGCAGAGCCCCGTGCGGTGCTCCGATTCCCGGCCTGCCAGATGCGGCCGACGCACACCAGCCGAATGTTCTTCGCTGGGATGTTGACTTGTGCGGAAACCTCGCCCCGGCCCCATGATGCCCCCCATGCCTCTCAAGCCTTGGCCATGCATCCAGCCTTCTCCTTCAGCTCCTCTACGGTAGCTGTCGTGTCAATGCTCACCTGAAACTCGCCCGCGTTGGCGCCAGCAGGCGCCTGGCAGCGGCGGCGAATGCAAACCTGACATCCGTCGGCGAGTCGCGTGGCGTGGCCTGGCCTGGACGGGCTTGATGGTCAGATTGACAGAGGCCATGCCTGGAGCAAAACAGGGCCCGTGCATTCTCTGCACGCTTCCGCCCAGCTTCTGAGGCAAGGGCCCCGCGCGGGCGGAAAAGAAATCGAATTGAAAGGAGCGGCTTGAAGTGAACAAGCTGCGACATGCGCCATGATCATGATCTTGCATGCTGTTTCATGACACAACCACAGGCTCTCTCTCGTCAGCGATGGCGGATCACGCGCGATTCATGCGGGTTCAGAAAAAAGAGAATTCGGCAGACAAGGCCAGCGGGTGCGCACAGCCTTGACTGGAAAATTCGGACAAAAGAACTGAGCAAGATGCACGGACAGGCTTCAAGAGTCCGCCGTCAAAATTGCTCGCTGGAAGCAACAGCTTAGAAGCCAGCCGTCGTGGGCACCGAAGCCCGCGGCATGATGTAAATCCTTGCTCAACCCTCCCGCACAAAAACTGCGAGCTTGGGCCAAATGCTGCTCGACTTCAGTCTATCATGGCACGTCGCCTCAAGGCTCCTCGAACCGACTCCGTTTAAGTCAGACTCCAAGCTACGTCAGCACCGACATCACCGTAGCAAGGGCCGGTCCCGGTCACAGAGCTCGCCAAACGTGTCAATGAATGAGGAAAAGCAGCCAAAGGCACTAAGTGGGCGTGAGAACTCAATGTCGAAAAGCGATAGAAGCCTCACACATGTCCACACCTCCTTGAATCGACATTCGCACGGGATCGCGAAACCCACAACGGGACCTCGTGCCGTTTGCCCCGTCGTAGGTGGTGACTGTGCAACGTAGTGTGCTAAGTACATCTAAGTACCATCATTCAGAGCACTCCTCTCCGCTCATTTGCCAAAGCAGCAGGTTCGTCGAGTTCAGAGAACCCGGCGTTCTTCACCAGGAACAACGAACAACAGCCCGCTGCAGCAAGTTCGTCCTTCGGTACGCTGCTTGACGCTACACAAGTACCAATGTTAAAGCCGCACCTCATGTCCCACTCCGTGAACTGCTGCCGCAGGCTCTGGCTACGAGAGAATAAGCGTGCAAAGTCCATGGAGCTAGGCTAATGGCCTGCCTTCGAAGCATCCTATAAAACGCAGGACTGCTGCAGCCTCACGCGCCAGCGCCTTCCAACAAAGCAGAAACACATCACTGCAAACCCATCAGGAGCTGTCCAAGAACCCCTGCCAGCAACACGTCTGCCCATTGAGAGTGCGAAGATACAAACTCATCAGAGAGATTCAGAGAGGTCGTCCAATTGAACCGGGACGAGGCCCCCCCAAGCAGCCTTGCCTGCCACACGCCTTCCCATCGAAAGAGCGTACCTGTCTGCCTTCGCCTGGCACTCCAGCTCTGAATGAAAGAGGCCGGACATGTCAAAGCACATCGCACTGCAACGATACACATGCCACTCCACCTTCAACAGCCTTAAGCCTCAAACTGCGTTTGCGCTGGCATGAGGCAACAGCAGCAACCGCCCCAGCAACTACTAGTAGTTGCACACAGACGCAACTAGCCTGCACTTGGGCATCCATGGGTTGCTCGTGGACGACCTGCCGTCGGCCGGCAATACGTGCCCCGAGCGGTGCAGATTGAAAGCTCGGGCCAACAGAAAACGATGAAGACTCCAGCTTCACCACTCGACAGCTGCGACATTCCAGCTGCACAAACTCTCTGACGCAGCACTGCATCCTTCCCTTCACGAAGGCTGAGGCTCCCTGCCGGCAATCGCTGGCGTTCCCAGCCGCGGAAGCCACCCTCCATCACGGCCACTCGCCTTCGCGTGAACAGCTACTCGATTCAGGTTGAGGACTCCGAGGACACAAGACGCCGAGGGTCACAGTGGTGTACTAATTAATGCCGATGCGACGATACGGCCCTGCACAAGGCATGCACACCCATTGGTTCGAAACCATACGGCTTCAGTAACACGACCAGCGTCATGTCGAACATGTTCGTACAAAAGGTCGCACACATACCGTTGGTGGCACTGTGTTTACTGTTTGCTGTCTCACCTTTGCAAAAACATGAACACTTGCAGAGAAACAGGCTGCGCAAAAAGGAAGCAGACAGAAGCTGTCTAGTGCCATCTGGGAGAGTCGGATGTAACTCACTCTGCTCTCAGGGCACGAATGTCAGAGCGCAACATGCGTAACTGAAGGGAAACAGGGCCCCCGCTGCGAAGTCGGCGCCTGCTCGCGATACCAGTTTGCACACCTGCCGTGCTGTCTCAGATCGGCTCCACCAAAGAAGCGTGATAAACGAAGCTCAATGACCTTCGATCAGTTGCCTTCCACAAATGGCCCATGACAGTAGACTTGGCATCCCGCTGGGGGCCACGGTGCATGGAGTACTGGCAGTGGAAGATCTCAGCAGCTGTGCACGTGGAATCTAAGCGGCAGCACAACATGCGAGGAGCACCGACCCCGAGCTGCCGGCGACCAGCTTCTCCTTCGAGAACTTCGCCACCAGCTCCGGCACCTCACACGAGGTCACGAGCGGTCCAACGCGACTTCTCTAAGCACCCACTCCCTCTCTTGGCGTCCCCGCCCGATTCAAAAGGGGAGCCTGAAAGCTGGTGGGTTCGTGCACCGACCCCTGCAGCGATGGAGAGAGGCAGGACGCGCCGAACCACAGATCCGCTGAAAGGCCTTGATGTGGCCAGAGGCCCGGTCTGCCGCCCGCACGTCCACGACCAAGCACCTCAGTGTTTCAAAGCAATCTTCGCATCCGCGACGTTTGCCAACTTTTCACCGGCCTGTGGCCCGGTCCTGAGGCGGAGGCTGCCCTGCGCGGAGGAGTTCGTCCACCTGCACGGAGGCAAGATGCCACGCGACGTGACACGACAATCACTCTCCGGGCTGCGCCTCCAGAGGCGAGAGCTTCTCCACCCCCTGGAGGAAACCCAATATGGAGGCGACGTCAAGAATTCAAGCAGATGCTGCCCCCGGCCGTCCTGGCTCAGGGGCACTTCGAGGTTCGGCCCCACGAGTCCGGCGCCAGTCGCAGGCCTGCTGCTCGGTTTTGCTGGGCCCGCAAGAGTCGAGCAACGAAACGACAACCATTCATTGGCGAAGGCCGTAAGTGAGTGGAGAAGAGTTGAAGAATGGAGCCAGCTCCAAAAATCTCTTCGAGCCCTTCACCGCGCTTGCAAGTGTCGAGCGTGCACAGCGCAGACCCTGAACGTGCCTCTCAGCGTGTTCGTGCCATCTTCTACCCCATTCATTCCGATCTCGTTCACTTGGTCTCGTAATTTCAGATCTCCCAATCCTTGTCTGCCCCGTCTGTCCGTGTGTCGCCGACATCTTTCGTTTCAGCCGCTGCAATGCAGATCGTGGTGTCAGGCCAGGCCTCGGTGCAGAGACGACGGTCTTCGTCGCAGTCTGCACCTCGACATCGCGGAGGCTGAAACAGGAAAGTCGCGAAAAACGCGTCAGCGCAGCCGAGGAAGACCGGCACTGCTTCTCAGTTCCTGGCAAGCGAGCCTTGCAAGGACTCCTCACACGCTTGCTTGTGGCGCCCCAAAACAAGGAGCTCAGTCGGCAAGCAGATCAAAACCGGAAACGAACAGATCCCGTCAGCCGTTATAGAGCCGTCCTTGGTCGGTGGGCCAGGGACAAAGCGCCTGCTTCAAGCTCTAAGGCACTACAGGCACTGAAGGCATCTGGCATCAAGGGATTTCCAACACAGGGGATGTCAAAGCCGCCCCAACGCCGCAAGTTGCACCGAGACCGAGCCGGGCCTGGGTACAGAGACGACGGTGTTCGCCGTCGTCTGCACCTCGACATCGAAAAGGATGGGAAAACGGAAAGCCGTGCATATTGGAAGACTGGCACTCACCCTTTCAAACTCCTGTGACCCGATATGACCCGATCGTCTCAGTTTCTGGCCACGGGGACCTGCATGTGCTCCTGAGGAAGACACTCGGGAAGCAGATCGAAGCATGCAACACAGAGGACGGCAGACAGGGCGGTCCATCTTCGCTGGGCCAGGCGCCAACGACCTGCTTCAAAGTCAAACTCATCTGGCAGAGCTTTCGAGTGACGGCTACTAGTACGGAACCATCGTCGGAATCTGGCACAGCTTTGGAGTGATGGGTAGCGCCCAGGCAATGTCATGACAGCACACATCCAAAGCGAAAGCATGACAAAAGAGTGCAGGTGATAGCCGAAGAACTCCACAATGGTGATCTGCAAGCCTGGTGGCGGCAGCCACGGGTCGTGTCAAGGGCACGTTGGCCTCAGACTTCAGCGCTCAGCTCGATGATGGTATGGTGGACGGCTAACCGTCGCGCTGCATGTCCGCATAGCAGCGCCGTAGCGCCAAGCAACACTTGCACACTCTCTGGGGTACACACAGCCTTGACGGGAAAATTGGGCCAGAAGGACTGAGCAAGATGCACGAACAGAACAGGATTCAAGATTCCATTTCCGCAGGAAGCAGCAGCTCAAACGCCAGCCCGGTCAGCCTGGTGGCCCGCCGGCAGTGTCGCCGCCACCACGGCTCGTGGCACGACGTAGATCCTCGCTCAACCCTCTCTCTCTCTCACACACACACACCAAAACACTCAGAAGCTGCAAGACCTCTCCCAAAGAAGGCAGACAGTTCCCGAGGCAGGCACTGTCTCACCGGCGTCGTCACGACGGCTGGCGCCTCACACACGATGCAGAGATGCAGAGCCGAGACCGGCATGAATCATTCGTTGCGCCAAGGCACTGCCCTTGGAGCCGTGCGCACGTAGTAGTACGAAACCTCAGCGCATGTTTTGAGCAGGCAACTAACCATTTCATTCTCTCAAGCAATTGGCCAGTCTGGGCTCTTCACCGTGCTAGCCATCTCGAAAGAAAACGCACGTTGACTGCTTCTGTGCTTTGCTACCACGTACAGTCACGGCCAACCAATGCCAAAGCTTCGTGCTACAGTTTGCATTGCTTTCCAGCTCTTCCACGTGGATGCGTGGGGCGCTGAGCTTAGGCCAAAGGCTGTCCGGCTTCAGGGAGTCATGGCTTCCACTCACGAAACGAAATGCATTGCCTCACCCCTGTCTATCATGGCACGGCGTTCAATGCTCCCTGAATAGGACCAGTCTTATCGCTTGTTGGCAAGGACAGCGATTTCGTCGAGCTCAGAGAACCCAGCGTTATTCGCCGGGAACAAACAACAACAGCCCACCACGGCAAGTTCGTCCTTCGCCATGCTGCCTGACACTGCCAACTATTGTCAAAACTACACCTCATGTCCGACTTGCCAGATCTATGAACTGCTGCCGATTCACCGGGCACTGCAGCCGCATCTCTGCCGGCCCGCTTCGGCAAAGACGTTTCTCCGTCCATTCTCTGCTTTGTGCTTGAAGAACTCATAACGGCCGCTTTGCCACGTCTCGGCCACCAGCACTGGCCAATACTGGCCCGCCTACGATTCATCTCATAGAAGGCAGGGCTGCTGCGGCCTCACGCTCCAGCACCTTCCAACTGAGCACCATGTCGAAGAGCCCATCAAGGGTCGTCCAATTGAACCCAGACGAGGCCCCTCCAAGCAGGCTTGCCTGCCACACGCCTTCCCATCGAGAGCGCATAGACGTCTGCCTTCGCCTGGCGGTCTGGCTTCCAAAACAGGCCGGACATGCCAAAGAGCAACGCACTGCAGCAATGCGCATGCATGCGCATGCCACTCCAGCTTCAACATCCTCAAGTTTCAACATCCTTCAACTGTGTTTGTGCTGGCATGAGAAAACAGCGACTAGTTGCAGATGGGTACCCAGCCTGCCCATGGGCATCCATGAGTTTCTCGCGGACGACCTGCGGTTGGCCAGCGCACATTCATGTCAGCGTGTCCGACTCTATGCAGACGACCCTGCAAAACTCGGGCCGACAGAAATCAAGAAACCCTCAAGCCTTAAGCTTCAGCTTTCTGCAACATGCTGCGACGCCTACTGCGACATACCACGTGCATATATGCTCCCTGAAGCAGCACTGCATCCTTCCATCCACGAAAGCTGAGGCTCCCTGCCGGAAGACGCTGTCCTTCCCAGCCGCGGAAGCCTCCCTCGAGGACGGCCACGCGCCTTCCCGTGAGCAGCCACTCGCATCAGGTCGAGAACTCCGAGGACGAGCGATACTAATCGTACGATACGATGCTGCGCCGGGCAAAATGCTTCCTTCTTTCCTCAACCACGACCATGCAGTCTCTCTTCATGTCCGGAAGCGCAATCCGAAAAGGCGCAGCGCGCACCGTCGGATCTGGAGCTTGAGGACTCTGGGACCGTGCTGAACTACGTTCATGGTGTCAGTCAAAGAGCCTGCAACGTTCCGCCAGCTTTCCTTTCCTAGTTTCGTAACACACGATGAGTGTGACACAGACACTCGTTGGAGAAAGGGCCTGACACAAATTAAGTGTTGACCGCGCATTTCGGAAGCACCGTATCATTTTGCAAAATCAGATGTCGCAGAGACACAGCGTGCAGCTGCACAGCTACACCATGCCAGTCACCACATGCAACTCTGCAGCTTGCACAGACATGTTCAACGAAAACACACCTGCAGGAAGCCGGGCCAGCACCACAAGACATGACATGTGGAGGGAAGTACAGCTGCGAAATTCATCCGGGGACCGAGGCCCCAGCTGCGTCGGAGGTGCCTGCTGGCGGTACCAGTTCGCAGACCTGGAGTCTTCCAAGATCGGCTGTAACCTTCAGTCCCTTCGATAGCCCTCAAGAACCAGTTCCACAAAATTCGAAGGCCCCGGTCCCCCGCAGCAGACTTGGGATCCAACTGCGGGCCACGGTGCAGCGAGTACTGGCAATGGAAAATCTCAGCCGTATTGCACATGGATTCTGAGTGGACGCAGTCACTGACAGACGTGCCTCCACATGCGGCGAACAGGACACTGAGCTGCCGGCCACCAGCTTCTCATTGCCGAACTTTTTCACCAGCTCCGGCACCTCACGCACATCCCACTCCACAAATAAGATCGGTCAGGAGCAGTCCACACTCACTCCCTCTCTTGGCGGCCCCGCCCGGTTCAAAAGGGGTGCTTGGAAACTGGTGGGTTCGTGCACCGCGCCCTGGAGCCGTCGAGGGACGAGACACACTCACTCTCTCCAGACGCCCAGTGCGAAACAAACTCCGCGAATCTTGCTGAAAAGGCCTCGATGTAGCCAGAGGCTCGATCATCCCCACGCACGTCGATAAGACAGCACCTCGGTGTTCTTTTTGAGTCCTTGTGGCATTTGCACCCACTGGGTCCTGAGAGACAGGCTGTCCTTTCTGGAGGAGTTCACACACCTCAAGGCAAGATCCCATGCGAAGCGACAGAATCAACACGGCCATAGCTCCTGTCAGTCGCCCTGTGTACTATCCTAGTACGAGTAGCTCTCCAGCTGTGCCTCTCCAGGCGAGAGCTTCTCGACCCCCTTGCAGAGACATATTATAGGCCACATGAAGACTATGTTTCAATCAGATGTTACAGACTGGGCGTGGCCGTCCTTCTGCAGGGGCACCTCGAAATTCGGACCCACCAAACCGGTGGGAGCTGGCCTGTGCACAGGTCGGCTCTGTCCGTGGTGATTTGTGCTCAGCAAGCTGGAGCCGCATCTGGCACAGAAATCAAAATTTTGTCGCTGGCATGTCGCTGGCAAAGATTCCAAACAGCATGTGCTTGTACTTTGTTGCCGTGGATCCTCTTGCACTCAGTGAATCATAATTCATAATCGACGGAATATCAGTTACGCTAGGTGGTCTGCTCGGGATCCCTAGCAGAAGTTTTTTTTAAGCGAGTGCAATACAAGGCTACACACGAGGATGGATGGAGGTTGTAGATTCGTAGATCGTGCTTTCGAGCCGGGCCTCGGTGCAGACACGATGGTTTTCGTCGCGGTCTGCACCTCGACGTCGCGCAGACTGCAAAAGGAAAGCCGTGACAACACATCGGCGCAGCCGAGGAGGACCCCGATCTTCTCAGATCCTGGCCACGGCGGTGTGCGCACGCGCCTGACAGGCTGGCTTCGTGGCACCAAGACGAATAAGACGAGGAATTCAACCGGGAAGCAGAAATCGGAAACGGACGGATCCCCTCAACCGGCGTTGGGCAGTCCTGTGCCGGTGGCCCGGGGACAAAGCTCCTGCTTCGACTTCGAAGGCAGATTAAGGCATCGGGCTGCGAAGGTTATCGAGTCACAGATGTGCAGGCGATGTCAACGCTGCCGCGCCAACGTGGCAAGATGCATGGAGACCGAGCCAGGCCTGGGCGCAGAGACGACGGTCTTCGTCGTCGTCTGCACCTCGACATCGCAGAGGATAGGTTAGTGCGGCCGAGGAGGACCGGCGCTGTCTCCCTTCAGTAGCCGGATTTTCTCGGTTCCTGACCACGGGGACCTGCATGTGCTCCTGAGGAAGACACTCGGGAAGCAGATCGAAGCATGCAATGCAGGCTGCAGACAGGGCGGTCCATCTTCGCTGGGCCAGGCGCCAACGACCTGCTTAAAGTCAAGCGCATCTGGCAGAGCTGACAACGTCATGGCTAACGCGAAAGTCGGGCGTGTAACCTACTCGTGCAGGTCATCCCTCAGCCGGGAGTTTGCAGCAGAACTCTGTCGCAAGGGTGAGCAGCGAGCCTGGTGGCAGGGGCCACCGGTCGCGCCGAGGGCAAAGTGGCCTCAGATTTACAGCTCAGCTCGTGGGCACCTAACCGTCACACAGCATGTCTGCACAGCAGCATCCAGCGGCACTGTACTGCCAGCACACTTGCACACGTTCTCTGGGGTACTCACAGCCTTGACGGGAAAATTGGGCCAAAAGGACTGAGCAAGACGCACGGACAGGCTTCAACATTCCGCTGTCAATAAGGCTCGTTGGAAGCAGCAGCTTAGAAGCCAGCCGCCGTGGGCACAGAAGCGCGTGGCATGATGTAAATCCTGGCTCAACCGTCCCGCACGAAAACTGCGACGGCAGCCCGTCCGCTCCGCCAGAATTCTGCCCCGACCTAAGTGGCCCGAGGCAAGCACTGCCTCACCGGCATTGTCACGGCGGCTGGCACCTCACATGCGACAGAGAAGAGGTTGAAAGAGGAGGCCGAGACGCTGGCAACTCTCTTCGCTTGCCCGGCAGGAAAGATGAACCATCCTTTGCACCAAGGCACGGCCCTCGGCGCCGTGGCCACGTAGTAGTACGAAACCTTAGCTCCGTTAGCTCGCTTCTTTTGAACAAGCTGCAGTCCAGCAGGCATCCGTTCGGCGCAATGGGCCGCACTGAGCCTTTCACGTGGCTGGCCATCTCGGTGGCTGCAGTGGGCTTCGTAACGGTGTACCGCCGAGGTCAAGTCGGTCACAGAGCTCGCCAAACTTGTCAATTAATTAGGAAAAGCAGCCAAAGGCACTAAGTGGGCATGAGAACTCAATGTCCAAAACCGATAGAAGCCTCACACATGTCCAAACCTCCTTGAATCGACATTCGCAAGGGATCGCGAAACTCACAACGGGACCTCGTGCCGTTTGCCCCGTCGTAGGTGGTGACTGTGCAACGTAGTGTGCTAAGTACCACCATTCAGAGCACTCCTCTCGGTTCATTTGCCAACGCAGCAGGTTCGTCGAGTTCAGACAACCCGGCGTTCTTCACCAGGAACAACGAACAACAGCCCGCTGCAGCAAGTTCGTCCTTGGGTACGCTGCTTGACACTGCCAATGTTAAAGCCGCACCTTCTGTCCCACTGGCTAGACTAGATCCGTGAACTGCTGCCACGGCTCTGGCTACGAGAGAATAAGCGTGCAAAGTCCATGGAGCTAGGCTAATGGCCTGCCTTCGAAGCATCCTATAAAACGCATGACTGCTGCAGCCTCACGCGCCAGCGCCTTCCAACAGAGCAGAAACACATCGAGGCACTGCAAACCCATCAGGAGCTGTCCAAGAACCCCTGCCAGCAACACGTCTGCCCATTGAGAGTGCGAAGATACAAACTCATCAGAGAGATTCAGAGAGGTCGTCCAATTGAACCGGGACGAGGCCCCCCCAAGCAGGCTTGCCTGCCACACGCCTTCCCATCGAGAGCGCATAGACGTCTGCCTTCGCCTGGCACTCCAGCTCTGAAAGAGGCCGGACATGTCAAAGCACATCGTACTGCAACGATGCACATGCCACTCCACCTTCAACAGCCTTAAGCCTCAAACTGCGTTTGCGCTGGCATGAGGCAACAGCAGCAACCGCCCCAGCAATTACTAGTAGTTGCACACAGACGCAACTAGCCTGCACTTGGGCATCCATGGGTTGCTCGTGGACGACCTGCCGTCGGCCGGCAATACGTGCCCCGCGCGGAGCAGATTGAAAGCTCGGGCCAACAGAAAACGATGAAGACTCCAGCTTCACCACTCGACAGCTGCGACATTCCAGCTGCACAAACTCTCTGACGCAGTACTGCATCCTTCCCTTCACGAAGGCTGAGGCTCCCTGCCGGCAATCGCTGGCGTTCCCAGCCGCGGAAGCCACCCTCCATCACGGCCACTCGCCTTCGCGTGAACAGCTACTCGATTCAGGTTGAGGACTCCGAGGACAAAAGACGCCGAGGGTTACAGTGGTGTACTAATTAATGACGATGCGACGATACGGCCCTGCACAAGGCATGCACACCCATTGTTTCGAAACCATACGGCTTCAGTAACACGACCAGCGTCATGTCGAACATGTTCGCACAAAAGGTCGCACACATACCGTTGGTGGCACTGTGTTTACTGTTTGCTGTCTCACGTTTGCAAAAACATAAACACTTGCAGAGAAACAGGCTGCGCAAATAGGAAGCAGACAGAAGCTGTCTAGTGCCATCTGGGAGAGTCGGATGTAACTCAAGGGAAACAGGGCCCCCGCTGCGAAGTCGGCGCCTGCTGGCGATACCAGTTTGCACACCTGCCGTGCTGTCTAAGATCGGCTATCCTGAAACTCACCTCGACCCACGGGAGAGCATATCCACCGAAGAAGCGTGATAAACGAAGCTCAATGACCTTCGATCAGTTGCCTTCCACAAATGGCCCATGACAGTAGACTTGGCATCCCGCTGGGGGCCACGGTGCATGGAGTACTGGCAGTGGAAGATCTCAGCAGCTGTGCACGTGGAATCTAAGCGGCAGCACAACATGCGAGGAGCACCGACCCCAAGCTGCCGGCGACCAGCTTCTCCTTCGAGAACTTCGCCACCAGCTCCGGCACCTCACACGAGGTCACGAGCGGTCCAACGCGACTTCTCTAAGCACCCACTCCCTCTCTTGGCGTCCCCACCCGATTCAAAAGGGGAGCCTGAAAGCTGGTGGGTTCGTGCACCGACCCCTGCAGCGATGGAGAGAGGCAGGACGCGCCGAACCACAGATCCGCTGAAAGGCCTTGATGTGGCCAGAGGCCCGGTCTGCCGCCCGCACGTCCACGACCAAGCACCTCAGTGTTTCAAAGCAATCTTCGCATCCGCGACGTTTGCCAACTTTTCACCGGCCTGTGGCCCGGTCCTGAGGCGGAGGCTGCCCTGCGCGGAGGAGTTCGTCCACCTGCACGGAGGCAAGATGCCACGCGACGTGACACGACAATCACTCTCCGGGCTGCGCCTCCAGAGGCGCGAGCTTCTCCACCCCCTGGAGGAAACCCAATATGGAGGCGACGTCAAGAATTCAAGCAGATGCTGCCCCCGGCCGTCCTGGCTCAGGGGCACTTCGAGGTTCGGCCCCACGAGTCCGGCGCCAGTCGCAGGCCTGCTGCTCGGTTTTGCTGGGCCCGCAAGAGTCGAGCAACGAAACGACAACCATTCATTGGCGAAGGCCGTAAGTGAGTGGAGAAGAGTTGAAGAATGGAGCCAGCTCCAAAAATCTCTTCGAGCCCTTCACCGCGCTTGCAAGTGTCGAGCGTGCACAGCGCAGACCCTGAACGTGCCTCTCAGCGTGTTCGTGCCATCTTCTACCCCATTCATTCCGATCTCGTTCACTTGGTCTCGTAATTTCAGATCTCCCAATCCTTGTCTGCCCCGTCCGTCCGTGTGTCGCCGACATCTTTCGTTTCAGCCGCTGCAATGCAGATCGTGGTGTCAGGCCAGGCCTCGGTGCAGAGACGACGGTCTTCGTCGCAGTCTGCACCTCGACATCGCGGAGGCTGAAACAGGAAAGTCGCGACAAACGCGTCAGCGCAGCCGAGGAAGACCGGCACTGCTTCTCAGTTCCTGGCAAGCGAGCCTTGCAAGGACTCCTCACACGCTTGCTTGTGGCGCCCCAAAACAAGGAGCTCAGTCGGCAAGCAGATCAAAACCGGAAACGAACAGATCCCGTCAGCCGTTATAGAGCCGTCCTTGGTCGGTGGGCCAGGGACAAAGCGCCTGCTTCAAGTTCTAAGGCACTACAGGCACTGAAGGCATCTGGCATCAAGGGATTTCCAACACAGGGGATGTCAAAGCCGCCCCAACGCCGCAAGTTGCACCGAGACCGAGCCGGGCCTGGGTGCAGAGACGACGGTGTTCGCCGTCGTCTGCACCTCGACATCGAAAAGGATGGGAAAACGGAAAGCCGTGCATATTGGAAGACTGGCACTCACCCTTTCAAACTCCTGTGACCCGATATGACCCGATCGTCTCAGTTTCTGGCCACGCGGACCTGCATGTGCTCCTGAGGAAGACACTCGGGAAGCAGATCGAAGCATGCAACGCAGAGGACGGCAGACAGGGCGGTCCATCTTCGCTGGGCCAGGCGCCAGCGACCTGCTTCAAAGTCAAACTCATCTGGCAGAGCTTTCGAGTGACGGCTACTAGTACGGAACCATCGTCGGAATCTGGCACAGCTTTGGAGTGATGGGTAGCGCCCAGGCAATGTCATGACAGCACACATCCAAAGCGAAAGCATGACAAAAGAGTGCAGGTGATAGCCGAAGAACTCCACAATGGTGATCTGCAAGCCTGGTGGCGGCAGCCACGGGTCGTGTCAAGGGCACGTTGGCCTCAGACTTCAGCGCTCAGCTCGATGATGGTATGGTGGACGGCTAACCGTCACACTGCATGTCCGCACAGCAGCGCCGTAGCGCCAAGCACACTTGCACACTCTCTGGGGTACGCACAGCCTTGACGGGAAAATTGGGCCAGAAGGACTGAGCAAGATGCACGAACAGAACAGGATTCAAGATTCCATTTCCGCAGGAAGCAGCAGCGCAAACGCCAGCCCGGTCAGCCTGGTGGCCCGCCGGCGGTGTCGCCGCCACCACGGCTCGTGGCACGACGTAGATCCTCGCTCAACCCTCTCTCTCTCACACACACACACACACCAAAACAAGCAGAAGCTGCAAGACCTCTCCCAAAGAAGGCAGACAGTGACAGTCCACTCCGCGACACTTCCCGAGGCAGGCACTGTATCACTGGCGTCGTCACGACGGCTGGCGCCTCACACACGATGCAGAGATGCAGAGCCGAGACCGGGAATCATTCGTTGCGCCAAGGCACGGCCCTTGGAGCCGTGCGCACGTAGTAGTACGAAACCTCAGCGTATGTTTTGAGCAGGCAACTAACCATTTCATTCTCTCAAGCAATTGGCCAGTCTGGGCTCTTCACCGTGCTAGCCATCTCGAAAGAAAACGCACGTTGACTGCTTCTGGGCTTTGCTACCACGTACAGTCAGGGCCAACCAATGTCAAAGCTTCGTGCTACAGTTTGCGTTGCTTTCCAGCTCTTCCACGTGGATGCATGGGGCGCTGAGCTTAGGCCAAAGGCTGTCCGGATTCAGGGAGTCATGGCTTCCACTCACGAAACGAAATGCATTGCCTCACCCCTGTCTATCATGGCACGGCGCTCAATGCTCCCTGAACAGGACTAGTTTTTTCGGCTCGTTGGCAAGGACAGCGGGTTCGTCGAGCTCAGAGAACCCAGCGTTATTCGCCGGGAACAATCAACAACAGCCCACCGCAGCAAGATCGCCCTTCGGTATGTTGCTCGACACTGCCTATGTCAAAGCTACACCTCATGTCCGACTTGCCACATCTAAACTGCTGCCAAGAGCTCTGGCTAGCGAAAACAATCGATTCGCTGGGCACTGCAGCCGCATCTCTGCGGGCCCACTTCGGCAAACACGTTTCTCCGTCGAGTCTACTGCTTTCTGCTTGAACAAAGCATAACGTCCGCTTTGCCACGTCTCAGCAACCAGCACTGGCCAACACTGGACCGCCTACGTGAGGCTGCGTTCTATCAGCATATCAGGATCTGATATTCTGATAGAACGCAGCCTCACGCTCCAGCACCTTCGGCAAAGCACAGCCAGCCCATCAAAGGTCGTTGAATTGAACCGACACGAGACACTCCTCCAAGCAGCCTTGCCTGCCACACGCCTGCCCATCGAGAGCGCGTACACGTCTGCCTTCGCCTGGCCGTCTGGCTTCCAAAACAGGCCGGACATGCCAAAGAGCATCGCACTGCAGCAATGCGCATGCATGCGCATGCCACTCCAGCTTCAACATCCTCAAGTCTTCAACATCCTTCAACTGTGTTTGTGCTGGCATGGGAAAACAGCGACTAGTTGCAGATGGGTACCCAGCCTGCCCATGGGCATCCATGAGTTTCTCGCGGACGACCTGCGGTTGGCCAGCGCACAGGTCCACATGTCCGACTCTGTGCAGACCACCCTGCAAAACTCGGGCCGACAGAAATCAAGAAACCCTCAAGCCTTAAGCTTCAGCTTTCTGCAACATGCTGCGACGCCTACTGCGACATACCACGTGCATACACTCCCTGAGGCAGCACTGCATCCTTCTATCCACGAAAGCTGAGGCTCCCTGCCGGAAGACGCTGTCCTTCCCAGCCGCGGAAGCCTCCCTCGAGGACGGCCACGCGCCTTCCCGTGAGCAGCCACTCACATCAAATCGAGGACTCCGTCGGCGCGAGAAGGTAATCGTACGATACGATGCTGCGACGGGCACAATGCTTCCTTCTTTCCTCAACCACGACCATGCAGTCTCTCTTCATGTCCGGAAGCGCAATCCGAAAAGGTGCAGCGGCGCGCACTGTCGGATCTGGAGCTTGAGGACTCTGGGACCGTGCTGAACTACGTTCATGGTGTCAGTCAAAGAGCCTGCAACGTTCCGCCAGCTTACCTTTCCTAGTTTCGTAACACACGATGAGTGTGACACAGACACTCGTTGGAGAAAGGGCCTGACACAAATTAAGTGTTGACTGCGCATTTCGGATGCACCGTATCTTTTTGCAAAATCAGAACTCGCAGAGACACAGCGTGCAGCTGCACAGCTACACCATGCCAGTCACCACATGCAACTCTGCAGCTTGCACAGACATGTTCAACGAAAACACACCTGCAGGAAGCCAGCACCATAAGACATGACCTTTGGAGAGAAGTACAGCTGCGAAATTCATCCCGGGACCAAGGCCCCAGCTGCGTCGGAGGTGCTGGCGGTACCAGTTCGCACACCTGGAGTCTTCCAAGATCGGCTGTAACCTTCAGTCCCTTCGATAGCCCTCAAGAACCAGTTCCACAAAATTCGAAGGCCCCTGTCCCCCGCAGCAGACTTGGGATCTCACTGCGGGCCACGGTGCAGCGAGTACTGGCAATGGAAGATCTCAGCCGTATTGCACATGGATTCTGAGTGGACGCAGTCACTGACAGACGTGCCTCCACATGCGGCGAACAGGACACTGAGCTGCCGGCCACCAGCTTCTCATAACTTCTGCACCAGCTCCGGCACCTCACGCACATCCCACTCCACAAGTAAGATCGGTCAGGAGCAGTCCACACTCACTCCCTCTCTTGGCGGCCGCGCCCGGTTCAAAAGGGGTGCCTGGAAGCTGGTGGGTTCGTGCACCGCGCCCTGGAGCCGTCGAGGGACGAGACAAACGGACTCTCTCCAGACGCCCAGTGCGAAACAAACTCCGCGAAGCGTGCTGAAAAGGCCTGAATGTAGCCAGAGGCACGATCATCTCCGCGCACATCGATAAGACAGCACCTCGGTGTTCTTTTTGAGTCCTTGTGGCATTTGCACCCGTTGGGTCCTGAGAGACAGGCTGTCCTTTATAAAGCAGTTCACACACCTCAAGGCGAAATCCCATGCGAAGTGACAAAGTCAACACGGCCATCGCCGTGTGTACTATCCTAGTACGAGTAGCTCTCCAGCTGTGCCTCTCCAGGCGAGAGCTTCTCGACACCCTTGCAGAGACATATTATAGGCCACATCAAGACTATGTTTCAATCAGATGTTGCAGACTGGGCGTGGCGGTCCTTCTGCAGGGGCACCTCGAAATGGCCAGCTCCCACCGGTTTGGTGGGTCCGAATTTCGAGCCTCGAAATTCGGACCCACCAAACCGGTGGGAGCTGGCCTGTGCACGGGTCGGCTCTGTCCGTGGCGATTTGTGCTCAGCAAGCTGGAGCCGCATCTGCCACAGAAATCAAGATCTTGTCGCTGGCAAAGATTCCAAACAGCTGAGACGGAATCCGCAAACCCTGAATGTGCTTGTACTTTGTTGCCGTGAATCCTCTTGCACTCAGTGATCATAATTCATAATCGGCGGAACATCAGTTACGTGGTCCGCTCGGGATCCCTAGCAGAAGTTTTTTTAAGCGAGTGCAATACAAGGCTACACACGAGGATGGATGCAGGTTGTAGATCGTGCTTTCGAGCCGGGCCTCGGTGCAGACACGATGGTCTTCGTCGCGGTCTGCACCTCGACATCGCGCAGACTGCAAAAGGAAAGCCGTGACAACACATCGGCGCAGCCGAGGAGGACCCCGATCTTCTCAGATCCTGGCCACGGAGGAGGTGTGCACACGCGCCTGACAGGCTGGCTTCTGGCATCAAGGAAAAGCAACTCAACTACAAAGCGAATGGAAGCATGCGAAAACGAACGGATCCCCTCAACCGGCGTTGGGCAGTCCTGTGCCGGTGGCCCAGGGACAAAGCTCCTGCTTCGACTTCGAAGGCAGATTAAGGCATCGGGATGCAAAGTTATCGAGTCACAGATGTGCAGGCGATGTCAACACTGCCGCGCCAACGCCGCAAGATGCATGGAGAGAGCCAGGCCTGGGTGCAGAGACGACGGTCTTCGTCGTCGTCTGCACCTCGACATCGCAGAGGATAGGTTCGCGCAGCCGAGGAGGACCGGCGCTGTCTCCTTCAAACTTCAGTGGCCGGATTTTCTCGGTTCCTGGCCACGGGGACCTGCATGTGCTCCTGAGGAAGACACTCGGGAAGCAGATCGAAGCATGCAATGCAGGGTGCAGACAGGGCGGTCCATCTTCGCTGGGCCAGGCGCCAACGACCTGCTTCAAAGTCAAACGCAGCTGGCAGAGCTTTCGAGTGACGGCCACCACCCAGGCAACGTCATGGCATGTCATGACGGCACACGTCTAACGCGAAAGTCGGGCGTGCACCCTACTCGTGCAGGTCATCCCTCAGCCGGGAGTTTGCAGCAGAACTCTGCCGCAAGGGTGAGCAGCGAGCCTGGTGGCAGCGGCCACCGGTCGCGCCGAGGGCAAAGTGGCCTCAGATTTACAGCTCAGCTCGTGGGCACCCAACCGTCACACTGCATGTCTGCACAGCAGCATCCAGCGGCACTGTACTGCCAGCAAACTTGCACAGGTTTTCTGGGGTACTCACAGCCTTGACGGGAAAATTGGGCCAAAAGGACTGAGCAAGACGCACGGACAAGCTTCAACATTCCGCTGTCAATAAGGCTCGTTGGAAGCAGCAGCTTAGAAGCCAGCCGTCGTGGGCACAGAAGCGCGTGGCATGATGTAGATCCTTGCTCAACCCCCCCGCACAAAAACTGCGACGGCAGCCCGTCCGCTCCGCCAGAATTCTGCCCCGACCTAAGTGTCGCGAGGCAAGCACTGCCTCACCGGCATGGTCACGGCGGCTGGCACCTCACATGCGACAGAGAAGAAGCTGAAAGAGGAGGCCGAGACGCTGGCAAGGCTCTTCCCCACCCGGCAGGAAAGAGGGCCCGATGATGAGTCATCATGAACCATCCTTTGCACCAAGGCACGGCCCTCGGCGCTGTGGCCACGTAGTAGTACGAAACCTGAGCTCACTTAGCTCGCTTCTTTTGAACAAGCTGCAGTCCAGCAGGCATCCGTTCGGCGCAATGGGCCGCACTGAGCCTTTCACGTGGCTGGCCATCTCGGTGGCTGCAGTGGGCTTCGTAACGGTGTACCGCCGAGGTCAAGTCGGTCACAGAGCTCGCCAAACTTGTCAATTAATTAGGAAAAGCAGCCAAATGAACTAAGTGGGCGTGGAACTCAATGTCAAAAAGCGATAGAAGCCTCACACATGTCCACACCTCCTTGAATCGACATTTGCACGGGATCGCGAAGCCCACAACGGGACCTCGTGGCGTTTTCCCCGTCGTAGGTGGTGACTGTGCAGCACAGTGTGCTAAGTACCATCAGTCAGAAGCACTCCTTTTGGCTCGTTTGCAAATGCAGCAGGTTCGTCGAGTTCAGAGAACCCAGCGTTCTTCACCGGGAACGACGAACAACAGCCCGCCCCAACAAGTTCGTCCTTCGGTATGCTGATTGACACTGCCAATGTTAAAGCCGCACCGCATGTCCGATGGCTAGACTAGA